TGGTCGCGGGCGGACTCATTGTGGTCATCGCCTTTTTGGGCTGTTGTGGTGCAATCCGAGAGAGCTATTGTATGCTTAACACGGTTTGTAAAATATATTTCATATTATTGATTGCAATTTAATATTTTATTGTTATTTATAATTTTACCCCAAATTGTTGTCCAATATATCTACTGACCAATAGTACGGCGCTCTCATACTATTATGTCTGGCAGCGCAAGGCGTGGGCGCATATCTGGCCATACGTTACAATTATGATGTTTGTAGTGATTATACAAATGTATAATAAATTATATTAATAATATAAATTGTGAATGAATCAGTTGGAAAAGCACGCAAACGATGGCATATACGCGGCTCTGGAGGCATACAAATGGGAACTGCCGGACGACGATCCCGCTAATAAAGCCATCAATGAGTTCCAGAAACAGTTGCAATGCTGTGGCGCTAAGGATGTGACTGATTGGGATAAAATCACTAAACACCCGGGTCTGTACTAAATAACCTTGGTTATTTCTATTAACAACTAATAGTGCATAATATATATTGATTATAGGTTTCTATCCGGCGTCTTGTTGTAAGTCTGGAGAGGATATTGTCGACACCCGATGTTTGGAAAGGAATACCTGGGTATATATCCTATTATTACATCGTTATAATTATTTCAATAACTAATCCTAAAATTAAATGTTTTACACAATTGTTTCGATTGAATGACAGGACAAGGGCTGCACTAAAGCGCTCATCGATTACATGAAGCTATATCTCGGAAGTTTAGGTGAGAAACCCATAAACCAATGTCTTTACTATAATAACTTCATATCTGATCATATAATTTGTATTGTATTGTAGGCTATATAGCGATTGGTGTGGCTTTGATAGAGTTATTGATAATAGTAATGGCCTGTTGTCTGTCGCGGGATATTAAGAACAAATACGCCACGTATTCCAGCCCTAAGGCCCGCTCTTAGATATTGTAGGCTATATAGCGATTGGTGTGGCTTTGATAGAGTTATTGATAATAGTAATGGCCTGTTGTCTGTCGCGGGATATTAAGAACAAATACGCCACGTATTCCAGCCCTAAGGCCCGCTCTTAGAGCCTAAATAGGATGACCACATGTTTTTTAGAGTGTCTTATTTACACAAATTTACACTTTTCTAAATGTAAACCAATTACTATTACTTACAATACTTAATATTAAGTATAAATGCAGTGACAATTAGTACCGGTATTATGTCACCGGTATTTAGAGCCTTATTTTATGTAAAACTAGATTTCATTTGTTTTTTTCACTCATTATTTCGATATTTAAAAAATGAAAAATTATGTAATTTTCTTTGCAAAAAAAATCATTATTATTATAAACTCTTATTAATTACATTTTCATGATTACAAAATATATGTATTATTTTACGGAAATAAGCGTTAAGTCATTGGCATTAATATAAAAAGTAAAACTTAAAACACTTAAAAATACATATAATAAACAATCGATTCGTTTTCATCAGCGAAAGGATTTGTCGTGATATCTGTTGCCATATATTAATACTTATTATATAATGGCATTCATACCATTAGTATCAATGTTTCAAATCATGAGCCATTAATCGTAACACTTCAATGTCTGCTGCGATGGCTTCTGGAATGACTACTTCTTTCTGGCGATGAATGTCTTCTGTGTTTGCTATGAGACGACGATTTGTGGTCCCTTTCCCTATATTTATCCCTATTATCGTCTCTATGTTTATCTCGATGTCTGTCTCTATCACTATCGCGGTCTCTATTCCTATACTTATTTCTCTCCCTATCATTGGATCGACTTCTTGATCGGTTTGATCGATTGCTTCTGTGCTGTCGTTCTCTATCATCTGATCGGCGAGACGTACGGCTCTGTGGCTCTCGATTGTGGACAACTCGTGGGCTATCATAAACGTAATCGTACTTCGCGTCCATTCTCTGTCCGAATGCACTCTTTTTAAGCATAAACTTGTCTTCATTTGGTTTATCATT